TTCGTACATTCTATTAGCTGTAGAAGTTCCAATATTCATTGTCTATCTTATTGTCGATATCATGAATTTTCTACACAAGTCACAATCCCAAACTTAAATAATTGATATACTCTCACTGGTTCTATTAGCGAATCATTTGATATATCTAGCAATTCGTATTGTTCATGTTCTTCTAAGGTTTTGAAATTTTCATTACTTCCATTTGTTGAAATTTCTATTGATTCGAATATTCTTCTTATATTGAAATTTCACCATCTTTAAATCCTAGAATTTTAGAATAGGGTCACTGCTGTGATTTCGAAATATATTTCTTCGTCATAGTTATTACTCATCAATGATTCAATACTTTTTTCTCTTTCTCTCTTTGTCTTATGCTTAATGCTATCGAAAGACAAATAAATAAATAAATAAATATGCTGCGTAAAAAAGTGTTGTGTGTTTTTTTCTCTAAAGATAAGTATTTGTATAATATGGGTGAATATGATCTTGTTGAAATTGAGCATCGGAACCATATAACGCATAATCGAGAGCTCCTTGTGATATCATGGGTGGTAGAGTTTGATTATAATTATATGATTCAAATGGATATTGACCTTGATATTGCATCGAATTGTGTGGAAAATAATTATTAGAATTATATTCTGGTGAATTAAAGTAATCAGTTGGAAAATGTTGATTTAAATATCCTTGATCATATGGAAAATGCATTGGTTGACTTGATAAAACATTTGTTGGGATCTGTGCTGGAGAATAAAACAATTGTGAATTAACCGGTGGTAACAGAACAGCAGATGACATTGGAGGTACATATGGAGCATAGACTGGCTGTTGGTGTTTTAAATTCCTTAAATAAAATAATAAATTTTAATATATAATTAAGTATTTCAGATTTTATTTCAAATAACTTTTTCTTTTTCAATGTTTCTCTATTTAATGGAGATAATCTCATATCAAGAATGATAGCAAATAATGAAAAAAAAAAAACTATTGTCATAATAAGACCAACAAGACCATTCCACCATGCCCAATCAAGAAAACCAGAGTAATCACTACGACCTTGAACAGACATAACACCCAATGTTGCTGATATAAATACAACTAAACACATTATATTATGTTTTAGTTTTTTTTTCTTCGTTTATTTATTTAAACTTACTGCATATGAATAAAAGAATGGCAGCAGCAAGAAACATAATTTGAAATGATGATCCTCCAAGATTTATTATACCAAACATAATAAGAAAAGCAGCAAATACATAAAATATTAAAGATATTATTTCTAATGGCTGACTACTTTTAATAAAACCTTTTAAAATAAATAAATAAATAAAATAAATAAATAAATAAAATAAATGAACGAAATAAATCTCAACCTGGTTTTCCTAAAAATACATTAGTTATACTTGAGTCGTATGTATTATCAGTCCATTGATTACAAACACCTGATTCACCTGTATAACAAACTCTCCAAAGACCAAAAGTGATTGAAACATTGGTATATGTTATCCATGGGGTTCCTCCAAATGAAACTAAATTAAGAACAAGATAAGATATTGTTGATAAAATAATAACGAATAATAAGAGTCGTCCAAGACCAGTTCTTGGAGATAAAACCATCTCTATTTACAATAATTTACTGTTTCAATCGATCCGTATCGTTTTTTTGTTTGTTTTAGTATGAATGTTACAGGTAAGAACGAAAATATTTTTATATTGATTTATTCAATATCACGTTTTTCTCACTAATGCTATAAGAAAAAAAAATTCTTTTGTCTACTCAAAAGAATTTTATTTTCATTCTTCAAATTAAATAATCTATCGACAATTCGAGAAAAAAGACTACATCAATATCAAATGTTGAATACATTTATGCACTTAGTGGCGCTAATTTATGAAATACTTCGATCATTTTTTCAGAGGAACTATTTAATACTAAAATATAACTTGATATAAGACAAATCATCTCATGAAGTCAGATTTTTTAGTCTATTTTTTTTTCTCGAGAAAATTATTAATTAATCAGACCAAGAGTAAGTTGGACTCTAACAACCAATAGGAATAATAGCAATAATAATACGTATGTAGTTAGATTCTTTCAATAATTTTTCGGTTCTAATCACTTTAAAAAAAAAGTAAAAATATACTTCGATAAAGAAATTTGTTCTCTATCTAACAGTATCTATCAAAATCTCGGTCCATTTAATTTTTTAAGAGGTCGCTATGGATAGTGCATTTGATAATGATGTATTGAAAACAGTATGCGGGTGTGGGTGTGAGTATGAACTAGTGATATGAGTACCTATTTGTGCATCCACACCCACACCCCAAATTATATCAAAATTGATCTTTTAATTGTTTTTAATGAAAGAAAGGAATTTATTTCTTTAAATTTTGACTAATATTATCATTGAACTTGCAAATTGTAGAATATACATTGAATTTTTAATTAGATAAAATCATGTTGAAAAATACGAATTGTAAATGAGTATTTTAATTTAAAGCAAGAAACCAGATTTCTTTAACAGATAACACATCTCTCGACAGATTATTCTTATGGATCGAACTATTATAAATACATGTATGTTTCATAGTTTTTGTCAGACTCGAGTTTTCAACTTTACATGATGATTATGAGTGCTTTTATCTCGATGTCTTTTATAGTAATGAAATTATTATGAGCATGTACTTATTAACAACATAATCTTTGATTGAAGAATGAAAATATTATCTTCTTCTGATTAACCCTTTGAGGACGGGATTACTTTTCAAAAAGATCACGTTCTCGAAACTTCGCAATAATATCTCTGCTAGAAAGAAGGTGTATCAGGATACAATACATATGGTGGCGTAGCATCACATCGGTGGTGAAGAATCCATAGTCTGCACTAAATATAGATCACCACTATATAATGAGACATACTCAAGTGCGTTACAAATCGATCGAGAACCGTTGCCTATATATAGGCTTCCCGTCTTCAAAGGGTTAATAACCAATCGAAGAGTAAAAGGATTTTTTTTTGGTAAATAAATCTAATATAAATCAATTTTGATTTATTAAATTTTAAAGATATGAGACTAATATTAGAATGAAAGAATATTATTTATTTCTGTTCGATTTTTTGCAAAAATAAGAGATAAGAATTTTCTATAATAGATTTTGATGAATAATATATCCAATCATCCTGGGAGAATTCTTCCGGATAAAATAGAATTGAAAATATTTTATTTTATAATATTATGTTAAAAAAATATTTCAATTCTTTATTCTATAAATTTTTTTTTCATTGATGTACAATCATTTATAGAGTAAATATTCCTAATAAAGAAATAAAATTAGATATTTATATTGTTTGACTTAGTATACAGTTTTTCGACAATGAATAGAAAATTTTTTCTGAAAGTTAAATCTATAAAATGCGCTCCTTAAAATATAATAAAACTAAATTGTATATTCTTCGATTGTTTTCTATTTCTAACACTTAACTTCATTTATTTCCTATCATATCATACATTAATCAGGTTATTAATCAGAAGAAGATAATATTTTCATTCTTCAATCAAAGATTATGTTGTTAATAAGTACATGCTCATAACAATTTCATTACTATAAGGGTGTGGGTGTGAGTGTGGATGTCACTGAGTATTGATATTAACGAATTAAAGATTAACACCCACACTGACACCCCCAGCCACAGCCACACATCCACATCCATGTTCTAGTTTTTCTTTAATTTTGCTTTCTGTACAATCTTCTTCAATGGTGTTACTAGAAAATTTCAGTAAAACTTACTACATAGAATCAAGTTTTTCCTATTGAGTTGTGAAATATCACTGTTCTCATACTGCTTTTTGCATTATCAAACTCTAGAGCAATGGACATGTTATTAGGCAGCTTTTGTCTGCTTGTGATGGTTTTTGTCTTGCTGTATCGTTTATTCTGGAATGAAACCAATGGTACATCAATTCCATTAGTCGAACATGGAAAGTATCCTATCGTA